AGTTTTGTCCGCCAGTCTCAAAAGAACTGTGGCTTCTCCCCGAAGTGCTGTGTCCCGTCTACTGCTCTTCCGTCAGCGCTGGAGGCGTAAGGGCAAGCTCAACTCTATTCAGTAGAGCTGAGGCTACGGACAGTACTTTCTCTTCCTGCCATATACACGTGACAGATATTGGATGTCCATTTGCGCGATCGGCAGGCTCAGGTCTATGCCTAATTTGGTTAGTTGATCGATTGATCAATTGGCGTGATCGTGAATTCAAGGCAGAGCTGTTCCTGTTCATAGGAGCGTCGTCTCAGCCACGGCAAGTCCGCTTCGCTGCAATAGTAGCAGCGACGCTGCGAGCTTGTGGCAGATCTTGATGGCTGGGATTGTCAAACGTATGTGCAGGTTAATTACAAGTGTAATTCTGAAATGACTTAAGACTAGTTCGAAACCTAACTACAACGGAACCTCAAGGAAGGTCAAGGCCTCTGGACCGTTCAAGTGTATATCAAATTCCTCCAGTAGGACCCCTTCGATTAACTCGTAATCGTGTGGAATCCTCTGTTCACAGCCGTTCATATCCGACCACTCGACGATGAGTGGAGGTATGTCCAACTGCTGACCTAGGTCAGCCGCCAAACACGTGGAGGAATGGAATGGGACCTTAATTAGCTGCTCATCTAGCTCTGCAGACGTGGTCATACCTGGTGATCTGTTTTCCAAGGCGAGCATCGTAGGGGTAGGAACGGAGGAGTCTAGTTGGGAGAAGGAGTTTGTGCTGATTATTCCTGCCTCTGTCAAGGAAATCCACCCGTCACCCTCTGGTCCCGGGTACAGACAGCCATCTTTGTGACCGGACATCGGGCCAGGATCCACCCAAACAAGCTTGCCAGTCTCGGTACCGACGCTCAGGGTTGGTTCGTCAAACGCGTGCGCCGCTGGCCCTACTCCTGCTGTCGCCCACTCACAAGATTGCGCACAGAAGTCTTCCAATCCGCCCCCAACGACCATACCAGCTCCTCCAAGCGTCCCTGCAGCCGTCCACAAGCCGAATACATCTGCCGGTATCGCCGGAGGTTGAACCCCTGACAGCGAACTGACCGGTGTCGTCGACAGGTGGCAAGCGCTAGTTGCCTGCTGCTGCTGCTGCTGCTGCTGCTGCTGCTGCTGCTGCTGCTGCTGCTGTTGTGGCTGTTGCTGTGGCTGTTGCTGCTGCGATTGCTGAGTAGAGGTAGCCGCCAGTTGTCTATCATTACGCCTGATGATGATTCTTCTCGGAGAGTTTGCCGAGGGCATGATAGTCATGCCCGTGGTTGCAGTGATCAGCGCAGCGGAGGGAGGTGCTGGCGTGGCAGAGGCCGAGGCAGACGCAGCGGCGGCGGCGGCAGCAGCAGCAGCAGCTGCCGCCGCCGACGACGACAGTCGTTTCCTCACCTTGCTCGGACTTCCTACCGCCTTCGTTCCGCTCAAGTGCCCCCCCGCCACACAGTTCGCAATCCCGCCAACACCTCCCTGGCTGCTCGCCTCCCTCTTCCGCAAGCCTCCGCCACTTCGCCCCCCCCCGCTTCCCGTTGTCACACCCGCTGTGTGCGACATCAATCCGCTCTTTCCCGACAACGACGCACCGCTGTACGTCCCCATAGCGGCCACCGCTGCCGCTGCAATTCCTTTGCACGCCGGTTTTCCTACCACCTCCACCATACTCTCCACCTGTTCCTTGTCCCCGCTGCTGCTGTGGCTCTCCGCCTGAGTGGCGGCGGACACCATCGTAGGTCCCTGATGCAGTCTTCCCTGGCCATGACCCGGGAAATTGTCTTCCTCCCATGCCGAGAACGACTGCTCCAGATCCGTGCACGTTTCCACCCCTCGGCTGACTCGGGCTATCCCCGCTCGTGACGATGTGGCCGTCTCAAATGCGGCCGCCCCCGTGGCATCGTTGTCGTCCACGAGATGACGAGTGCTCTCTTCATGCAGCCCATCGAATGGGTCAAGAACTGTGGATAGACTCGGGCTCCCTAGAACACAGCCAGCGCCTCCAGAATGCTGGCAAGTACCAACTGTAATATCTAGACTAGAGAATCCCGCACCAGCATTCTGATGCGGATGCAGCTGTTGCTGTTGTTGCTTTCCGTGAGCGTGAAGGTTGCTACTGCTGTTGCTGCCTTTCACGCCGCTGTGAGTGATTAGATATGCCGTGGCAGAGTTGGTGGAGGGAACCTTAGGGAAACCACACCCTCCACCTCCACCTCCTCCTCCGCCTCCTCCTCCTCCTCCTCCTCCTCCTCCCCCTCCCCCTCCTTCTGAAGATGCGGAGCCCAGAGAACTCCAACCATGACTGCCATGGTGATGTTGATGGCTTCTCGAGCCTCTCATGTGAGAATGATGGTGTCCACTTCCACCACCGCCACCGCCATTCTCAAGACTCGTTACAGCTGCCGACGCTGCTGCATGACTGCTGCCTCCGCCTCCACTGCTCTTCGAGCGAGGCCCATGTGTTGATCTCCCAGATGAGCTTCCTGTACCGTTCGACATTTTGCCGGGGTGATGCCCTCTTTCTCCTCCTCTCTCCCCCCCTCTTTCCCCCCCTTTCTCCCCCCCTCTCGCCCCGCCACTTCCGCCACCAGCCCCGCTGCTTTCAGCAGTGTTCGTTCCCGTCGAAGTTGTACCAGCGCCAGGCCCTCCTCCCACAGCAC